AATATAATATAATATAATATAATATAATATAATATAATATAATATAATATAATAATATATCAAGGAGAAGTTTCTGTTAAAGTTTTCTTCCTTGTGGGTCACTTTGTTACAAATCAGATAGGTTTTTTTTTTTAAAATGTAGGGAAGCACAGAAAAATCACCCCCACACCCACACCCACTAAATCCACGCTGCAGACGTGCTTTAATTGACGCTTTGCTACCTCCGTCCACTTCTCATGCCCAGAAAGGGTCTGCAGGGACTGTGCCCCCCTAATTCCTTTGAAACGGAATTCGCAACAGCGGGGGCCCTCCCATGGCTGCATCAAAAGCACCCTTTGGGCTTGCAACGTGCAGAAGAGAGACATTTCTAGAGAAAAAAAAGGCCAGAGACCGAGTTTCTGCCACCCACGCATCGGATCACACGCCACAGCTTTGCTCAGCCTGTTTGGAGATCAGCAATTCCACAGCCGGCCGTGGGACTGGCACTCACCCACCGGGCGAAGGCTTCTCGCCCAGCCGGCTTGGGGATTCTGGTGCCCTGGAGGCCGGGCGCAAGGCAAGCAAAGCATTGGAATGGAGCAGAACGAGAACTTCTTCCAATTAGCCATCTCGGCAGGAGAAGATGGCCGTTTCCCTAGGAGTCTCCCACAGCTGGGTCACCCCTGAGATCCTTTATTTATTAGGTTCCTTTTCTGCAAGACAATGACTTACAAGGTTACGGCAGAAAAGCTCTACACCTCCTTGCGGAAGGAGAGCTTCTGCCTATCCAGGTGGTTGAGTTCAACTCTCCATTTCCCTTCAATGCCAGAAGCCTTTGGAAAGGTCACAGGCGAGACACGGAGGCAACAGCACCCTCCCTCTGTCTCCAAAATTTGGCGCTCAGAGATAGAGTGCTTCTGCAGAGGGAGGTTCCATCAAGTCACTCCTTTGAAGGACTGCCACACACCCTATCCTGGGCTGCTTTTGAAGAACATCTGAACACCGTATCAAAAATCAGGAGCAGAAACATTTTTCTGACCTTCACTTTGTGGCCTGGACTGTCTGCCCGTTATGTCGGATTCACACATATGCCTAGGCCAATTCAAAGTGCTTGTTTTTACCAATAAAGCTAGTTCGGAGCCGAGCCCTTTGAGAGACCATCTGCTCTCCAGTGATCCTGCTTGTTATTTCTTCTGAGGTCCCATTACAAAGAGCTGGATGGGAATGTTTATTTTATTTTATTATTTCACCTCATTTCATTTTAATATCTTTATTTATTAGAGTTTAGCCTGCCTTTTGTTCAGGAGCATTTAGGTTGGGCTGAGAAGACAGTGCTTGGCCCAAGGGAACTTATTTGGCTAAAGATAGGCTCGGTTTCCTTGATGCCAGTCCAACATTTTAACTATACGACGCCAGCTTTCATGTTTTTCTGTTGTGATTCAACGCTTCCTTCTTCTCCAGAAACTAAAAGATGTCATGAAGAATTCATCCCAGACCTGCCCTATTTCCTTTACAACTCTGCAAGCTAGATTGGGCTGAACAACGGGGAAGAGCCCATGGCCACCCAGGCAGGGCTGAACGTGGGATGTGAACATGAACACCAACCATTTAACCCAATTTCCTTTCTTAAACAGACTTCAGCGAAACACCTCGCAGGATCAAGATCCTATTTGCTTCAGGATTCAGCCATTCCTTGTTTTTTTCTAGAAGTCTGGAAGTCACCCATCAAATTAATTAATGAACTAAATATCTCAAGAAGGCAACCCTTTAAAAATGTTATTTGCCCTTCTTTTTTTAACTTGAGGAAAACACATTTAAAAAAAAAAACCAAACCTTTCCTCTGTCATCAAGTAAAGATGACAGAATTGTCTTTATTCATCATGTAGGAGAAGGCATATGCTCATAATCCATGCATCAGAAGTCAAACACCAGACAAAATGTCCTCTGCAATATCAGATCAAAAGCGGACCACGAATCTACTTATTGCTAGTCTGGATGGAACATATCACAGCTTTATCAGACGAACCTCTTTATTATCTCATGTACCTTCTTCTGACTACTACAGATGCTTATTTCAGTCATAACTCACAGCCATAAAAAAAGAGGAAATAACATTTCTATCTGTTCATGACATTTCCCTGCTTGGTCGCCTTTAGACTGCCTCAGCTCACCCTAGACGAGCAGGAGAGTCAACCTCATAGCGAGGGACTCAACAGTAATTCTACAGAGCCTTTTGTGTTCTCTAGAGAAATATACCCGAATAAACGAAAGGCCGGAAGCATTCCTCTAAGTCTTCCAAAAGAAATAGGGTTTCTGCTCTTTCAGGGTCAAATGCATGGTGGACAATCAAATTGAAAAGATAGAAAGCAGACACTTACCGATGTATACAAGTAACCTTCACTGTTCATGGCTAAGTACAGTTTTGTCTGAACCCCTTGGATAGCCACCACTCGCAAACCCACCGGTATGAGGTTAAACAAAGCTAGGAGGAAAAGGGAAACAGAAAGTTAGCCCCTTGGTCTGGTTTGCAGAAACAAAATCAGATTTTCCCATAAATGCCAGCTGGCAAATCTGTAATGCTGGTGTAAGAAAAAAGAAAAAGGATTTTTTTGGGTGGGTGGGA